TGAAGAACTGGTCATCCTCACCAATGACTCCACCAACACTGAGCAGGAGAAGTCCATGGAGAAGGTGTACCAATGAGAGGAGACTGAGCAGAGAGAGAGAGCACAAGGCAGAGTGCAAGGCCAAGCATGAGGAGACCAAGAGGCAGAAGGTGGAGGAGGAGCAGTTGGAGGCAGAGTGGAGGAAGAGAGTGGAGGAGGAGGCTCAGAGGAGGGGGGCAGTGGAGGAAGAGGAGGCTTGAAGGAAGAAGGCAGCAGAGGAGGAGGCAGAAAGGTAGAGGCAGAGGGCCTCTGAGGAGAGGGCTCAGGCCAGGCAGGACAAGGCTGCACAGAGGTGAGTGGTGGAGTACTGTGAGTCAGGCAGAACTGACTCATAGTTCCTTTTGTTTTTAGTTTGTATATTTTTGTACTACTATGAAATAGACTCGTGATTTTATTTGTGGTTCTGAGAAGTGAGACAGATAAGCAGAGAAAATTCTCAAGTACTTAAGGTAGTTGGTAAGGGGTGGAGTTGGTCTGCAGAGGAAGGTTATGTGGGCAGAGTATTATGGCAGGGGTTGATACAGGCCAGGCTTGTGCAGATAGTGTTTGTGGAAAGCAGAGACTATGTCAGAAGCATGATCTAGCTCAGTTGCAAGCAACCAAGAGGTTTCTTTGTCAGTGTTCTCATAACCAGCCCAGTGGACTAGGTACAAGAGTTGACAGTGGCAGTGATGGCAGTCCACCTTAGAGTCAAGTATCTCTGATACTTCATACTCAAGGTCACCATTGACATCCACTGGTGGAGGCAGAGGTTGTTGTTGGTTTGGGAAAGGGTTAGCCACTGTGGCTTCCAGTTGTGAGACATGGAAGACTGGATGTACTGAGCACATAGAGTCAGGGAGCTTAAGGGTGATGCAGTGTGTACATGGCCTGGCCAAGATGGTGAACAGACCTAAGTACTTTTTGGAGAGTTTTTCCAAAGGACAAGTGGAGTGGAAGTACTTGGCTTTGATGTAGGCCTGTTCTCCAACCTTGAACTCAGGTGGAGGTATGCATTTGGCATCTGCTGGACCCTGGTAGTGCTGCTGAGTGGCAGACATTTTGGAGTGGAGGAAGTCATGAAGGGCAGAAAGCTCAATGACATAGTTGTGAGCCTGTGGAGAGGTGAAGTCCTGATCAGGGACTACAGACAGGTTTGGATGGTACCCCTTGTTAGTGAAGAAGGGAGAGACTCCAGTTGTCACACTTGGTGCATTGTTAAAAGTGAAATCCACTAGAGGTAACAGCTCAACCCAGTTGTATTGTTGGTAGTTACAGTAGACATGAAGGTACTGCTTGAGGGTCTGGTTCATTTGCTCAGTCTGGCCATTGCCTTCTGGGTGGTAACCCAAAGTGAAGTGAAGACACATATTAAGGGCCTTTCCTAGAGAGTGGAAGAAGTGTGAGACAAATTCAGGACCTCTGTTAGAGGTGACATTAGCAGGTACCCCATGCTTGGAGAAGACATGGGTAAGGAAGAAGAGCTTAGTGAGTTTGGTGGAGGTGATGGAGTCATGAGTGGGGGTGAACACTGCTTGCTTTGAGAGGTGGTCGACTACCATGAGGATGGCAGAGTAACCATCAGAGTTGGGGAGGTGTTCAATGAAGTCCATGGAGATGGAGTTCCAAGGTCTCTCTGGGATGGGGAGTTGCTTCAGTAGACCATAGGGGCAGTGGCATGGAGTTTTGCTCCATCCACAGGTGGTGCAGGACCTGACATATTCTTTCACATTGGAGTGGAGGTTAGGCCACATGTAGTCCCTGTGGATGAGTTCTAGGGTGTGGTTTTGCCTGAAATGGCCTGCTAGAGGATGGTCATACTTGAACTGAAGCACTGGAGAGTGGAGATCATCATTGTCAAGGACAAAGATGTGGCTGTCAAGGCAGAGTAGACCATCAGAGTCCAGGGACCACCAAGGCTTAGTTGGAGTTGGGAGATGGCTGGCAGAGACAGGGTTGGATGGTAGGGTGGAGATGATGTCAGAGTGCAAGCACTCAACATCAAAGACCATGGTGGCACAGAGTACAGGTGCCATGAGGGTGGTGGTATGGAGGGATGATGCAAGTTGCTCCTGTGTAAACATAGGGTGGAGATTGTGAGGACTTACCTGCACATAGTCCCTATCCCCCCTTTTGGGTAGACATCCCAATGTTGCATAAGTGCATTGGGTTTGGCTCCTAGGTGGCCAGGTCAGAAGTGGATGGAAAGGTTAAACTGTGAAAGGTACTCTGACCAGTGGGCCTGTCAATGAGTGAGAACCTTAGAGGTGGAAAAGTACTCAAGGTTTTTGTGGTCCATCACCATGTTGACAGGTAAGGCAGAACCTTCTAGGTAATGCCACCAATGGCAGAAGGCCTCAAAGATAGCCAACAGCTCCTTGTTGTGGGTATCATAGTTGAGTTCTGGTGCAGTCATGGTGCAGGAGTAGAAAGTGACTGAGCAGAGTTCACTGTTGGAGCAGGTGAGTGACAAAATGGCAGCAATGGCATAGTCAGAGGCATTGGTTTCAACTGTAAGTGGAGTGTCAGGAACCAAGTGAGTGAGAATAGGAGCAGAGCTGAAGGCATTCTTCAGGCAGAGGAAAGTGGAGTGGCACTCCTTGGAAAAGTTCCAAGGAGCACCCTTTCATGTGATGCAAGTGAGCAGAATGATGATGTTGGAGTAGTTATTAATGAATCATCTGTAGAAGTTTGCAAAGCCAAGGAAGGACTGGATGTCTTGCACCTTCCACAGCTCAGGCCAGTTGTGGACTGCCTGAACCTTCTTGGCAGAAATGGTGAGACTGGAGGGAGAGAGAACATAACCAGGGTACTTGATAAAGTTGGAGTGAAACTTGCACTTTTCTGGCTTGGCATTGAGACCATGCTTTCAAAGGTGGTGGAGTAACTCTTTTATGTGTTCACAGTGCAACTCCATGTCCTGCAAATAGATTAGGATGTCATCAAGGTATACCATGATGCAGACATTGAGCATATCTGCAAAGATGCTATTGACAAAATGCTGGAAAGCTGCAGGCACATTAGTCAGACCAAATGGCATTACCTGCCACTCATAAGAACCATAACAAGTGCAGAAAATCTGTTTTCCATTCATCTCCATCTGTGATGCAGACTAGATGATAGGCATGGTGGAGGTTGATCTTGGTGTAGACTTTAGCATGGCTTGGAGAGTTGAGTAAGTTGGAGATGAGCAGCAGCAGATAGTGATCTTTTTTTGTGATTTTATTGAGTCCTTGATAGTCTACACAGAGGCAGAGTGAGCTGTCCTTCTTCTTTACAAAGAGGACAGGGGCACCATGAGTGGAGGTGGACTGCTTGATGAAACTGTAGCCAAGATGCTTGTCAATGACAGTGTGGAGAGCCTCAAGCTCTGGCAGAGACAGAGAGTAGATCATGCCAATGGGTGGAGAAGCTCCTTCCTTGAGGTTGATCTTGAGATTGAACAAGCAGTGTGGTGGAAGTTCAGTAGCCTTGTCCTTGCTAAAGATGTTGGCAAACTCATGATACTCAGGAGGGACCAAGGAGAGGTCAGGAGGTGGAGAAGAAGTGGAGGACACATGAAGCTTCACATCATCAGCAGAGAGCTGCAAGTGGAACTGTCTAGAGCCAGGGAGAGCACAGGCTCTGACATATGCAGCAGCATTGATGAGTGAGATGAGTGGAGCAGAGTGCAGTGAGTCAGTTGCAGTTGCAGTTGGAGCTGCAGATGGAGCAGAGGGTGTTGGATCAGGAGTGGATGTTGCAGCAGAAGGTGATGAAGGCACATGGGGTGTTGGCATTCCCTGTAACAATGGTTTGAATGAAATACTACCCAATACCCAGTCAATTGATGGATTGACGTGGGTGAGCCAGTTGTGTCCTAATACCAGTGAACATGAAGAATCCAACAGAGTAACATAAAAAGAAATGGAGTTGACATTGCCAGAAGGAAAGTGGAGGGAAAGATCTACTGCTTGGGAAATGACAGCATGTGTACTACCATCAAATAAGCAGAGCAGAATTGGTGGAGAAATGGAGGAAACAGGAATAGCATATTTTTTGACTATGGACAGGTCTATGAAACAATGAGAAGAGCTGGAATTGATCAATGCAGAAACAGTATCAACAGAATAATCAAGAAGAGTTACAGATGGAAGTAAAGAATTGGGACTAGAGAGCACAGGTGCATTGAGTCAGATGTCCAGTTGCACACAGTTGGGATCAATGCTCCCTCCAGGCTGTGTGAGCTCCCTGGAGGAGTGGACTAATTTTTTGGCTCTGCCTTCTCTGTGGGTGGAGGAGGTGGAGTTCCAGCTGTAGCTGCATGGGCTTTGGCTGCACAAGAGGTTGACTTAGGACAGTCCTTAGCAGGGTGGCCAGCCTCACCACAGAAGAGGCAGAGGTTGTTCTTCATCCTGTGCTGGTGTTCAGTGGAGGTGAGTTTTCCATCCTTGCCCAGAAGGTGGGCAATGTCAGACTTGGATGCATTGGACTTGGGTGGTGTGAGTCAAAGTGTGGTTCAGTGGTGAAAACCAACCAAAACCAACACAAAAGACAATAAGAGCAAGTGGTGGTGTGCCTATGTGGTAACTAGATGGTAGAACCTGTTCTTTGGGAGGGTTTTTGCAAGCTATAACACTCCATGATGATTGCTGAGGGTTGGAGGTGCTCCTGATGAAGAGGGAGCAAGAATGCAATAGAAAGTGATAGGGTAGACTGCTGTCAGCCTACAGAAGGATGGATGGCAACTTAGTTCGAGAAATTGGCAGTGGCGGTGAAGCGCACCTGCCAATTTGCGGTGGGTGCATGCACGTGACCGCAGAGGCCAGGAATCTGTGACATCACAGGCCTCAGCCACCTCGGCACCACTGCCGGTAGGCTCAGCATGCTGTTGCGTGCCGTTGTTTGGGTGCCCTGCCCCTCGTTTAGGTTCAGCTTATGTCAGTGTTACAGTGATCACATCTCGTGATCGAGGACTCCCGAAGCTTCTGCAGGATCGAAAGCAGTTATGTACGGCAGTGTAGGACTACTCTCGAACGGACGTGTGAGTTAGGTAAAACAAACACATAATGGTATTGCATGCGCACGCGCACGCTCAGGATATGATGGGTGGATGAATGATGCTTGCGATTAACGATGTTTGTGTTGTGCGTTGTGTACGTATGACTTGTCGTAGGCTACTGCACATGTACGAGTATGCGACTAGTGATGTAGTACATCACGAGCTCGGGTGATGCTGGGGTGATAGTATCGACAAGTGAGTGATAGATGTATTAAGAGAAAGAAAGAAGAAAAAAAGAACAGGATGGCAATGGTGGAATGACGACCTTGGTGTGATATGCATCAGTGCTGCTCGCTGACGCCCGAAGAAGAATCGTCGCAGACTTCTTCACTTGTGAGGCGATGACAGTGCTCCCCAGCTCCACAATACCGTTTGCGGGCAGCCAAGATCGCTTTGAGGAGTTTCGTGTGTCCTTGACCGACGGCACTTCCATAGACCTTGAGGAAGGTTTCCTCGTCTCCCTGGAATCTGGGGACCGTGTCAGAGGGACTTGGGCGAGTGGTAGAAGTGTGACAAGCTGACTTACTCGTCAAGGAATTCCGTTGCAATGACACGTCACTGAGAGTACTTTGTATTGAATTGATGGCCACTCTTCCCATTGTAGTAGTGATAAGGCCAGTCCTTGAGCGGAATGTGCAGGTCAAGCCATGGCTCCCCCTCCGTCCAGTGGCATACTATGTCCCTCCAAGAATCCAACTTTGTGGTCCGTGTCCCATTGGGACACAAAACGGGCACGTCTGGGATGACAACTCCCAGAAGGGAGGTAGAGGCACGGGCCTTGGTCCTCTGGGGTCCGATCTGTGAAGGGAGGGATGTCGAGAGCGAAAGATCTGATGGTTGGACAACTCATGGCATCCTGAACTGCGTTTGAGTCGGTTGTAAATTGAGCGTAGGTAGGTATGGCTGGGCTGCTGGCATGGAAGCGGACTGGATCACTGGGGGCAACAAAGCTGTGGTCTGCGCAAGTGAACGCCGGTGGGCTGACCCATGTGGCTGGTCGGTTGGTGCGATGGAAGTCATAGAATGAACAAGACTCACCCGCTGTTGGCATGGAAGCGGACTGGATCACTGGGGGCAACAACGTTGTGGTCTGCACAGGTGAATGTTGGTAGGCTGATTCATGTGGCTGGTCAGTTGGTGCGGTAGAAGTCACAGAATCAACGAGGCTCACCTGTTATTGGCATCGCTCGAGCGTTACTGCCGGTAGTGCCCTGGCGCAGCACAGGTCCAGAAGGGGCTGAATATGCAGAGGCCAAGGTTAGGGCCTTTACAACCAGGTTGCTCATGTCACTGAGCTGTTGGCAGATCTCCCTTACATCTACTGAAAGTGAGCACAAGGTTTCCTTCACTTCCTTCATGGTTGTGTGTAGTGCTGCCATGTCGGCTGTTATCAATGCATGCACCATGTTGAGTGCCTTGGTGGACACTGGCTGGACGAGCGCAGCTTCGCCTGCGAGTGAACGATCACCTTCGTGTGGGACCGGTTGCAGCACGTCACTGTGGTCGTTTTCATAGCAATTCAACTCGTCAAGGAGGTAGCGCATCAGTGTGTTGCGCTGCGTAGTCGTGTGGAGTGAAAGGTAAGGAGTCGGTTGACTTTACTACACACCCAGATAGGAAGGAGGACGAAGTACTCACATGCTCACCTTCAGCCCATCCCCCCCACCACCGGACCCACGCAAGGGTCCATCGCTGCCCCACTGGCGTGAACATGAAGCAGTATTGTGCTCCACCACAATGGTAGCAATGCGTTGTGAACGTTCTGGGAATTCCAGACCCCACCACTGCCTCGTCGATCCATTTTTGGATCATGTCATGGGAAAGCGGCTCACCCGGTTGCAGCACGCCATTTGTGCCAATTGCAGGGAAAAGGAAATCCTCTTCAGTCATTGGCCGGCCGAGATGGACAAGTTCGACCCATTTCATCCAGGACACGAGGTGCAGGAGGGTGTCACATGCCTTGCCCGTATCCAGGCGTGGATAAATCTTGTAGCGATTGCCTGGTAAGTACCAATGAAAGGAGATCAGATAAAATGGGATATGCACAGATGGATATAAAGATGAACTTCGTAGGTCAGCTTCCCTCATCCCCTTATCTAACTTTCTCTGCCATCCCTTATGGTTTTTTAGGTGGATCTCGAAGTAAGCATTGCGCTCACTAACGGTGAGGGAGAGTTCCTCACCTCGAAGGTATTTCATGAACATGCCATCTATGACAGTCTTGTCAAGCTTGACATCCCCGCACTTTAGTTTCAGGAGCTCGTAGTTCCTGTCATAAGCCGCGATCGAAAACGTTGTTGGTCAAACTGCCTGCCAGGACTTACCTCGTCCAAAGCATAAATGTGACAGCGCTAAAGGCAAGGTGTTCAAGGTGCCGTGTGACCGTTAGCATCACTTTCCCATTCAAGGACTTGCCCGATGGCAGTGCTTTGTAGCCTATCGTTGCGAGACGAATGTATTGGAGTGGGGCGTCAAGTGGACAAAATGATTCTGACCAGGCGAGTATCTTATCCATGTATTCCTTCCTCATGGCACCTGAGTGCTTCCGTTCAGCTCCTTCGGAACTAACCTTGTGTCTGATAGATGCCACAACATTGTCAACTTCTGCTGACAGGACCGGGTTGCCTTCCCATTGGTGATGGGCATCATTGTGATGCCACTTCCTGTGGAATGTCGCACCGTCACTACGCCGAAGGTATTAGTCTATGAGCATCAAGGAAAACTGAGCAATCATGCCACACACGCTTCGTCCCACAACATCTTGAATCCTGCTCGAACACCATCGATGGTGCTTTGGCTGCTATTTTGTTGGAACCCTCTCCATGAAAGGTAAAGGGCTAATGCTTTATCTGAGCACCTATTTGGCACGCGCTCAAATGCATTCTTAAAATTTGGATCACTGTAGATTTCAGAGTCCTCTCTGGTGTGATTTGGAGTCGGTGGCGTCCCCTCCTCTGGAAAATGGCTCTGCAGCCATGAGCGCACTTGGTGGACATGTCCTGAGTATGCTGCTCTCGTCTTGGCTGCCCGAAGGTGAGTTTCTTTGCCAGCTTCTTTAATTCAGTGGGCAGTATGCAAGCTAGGTAGTTCTTTCATGGTGGATACCCTTGCCCTCTTTTTGGGCTTGTCTGGGGATGACACAGCATGCTTGGTCCCAGATGCCTTCTGTCTGACCATCGCGACAGGATATTCAGTTACCGGTCATAAACTGATTGGACACAGCAAGGTGGGAGTTGTGATGTCACAAGTCTAAGGTAGTTATTTGCAATACATGTACTACGAAGTGTGATGAATTCCGAGGACTAGTGTAAATATGGTGCAGCTATAGCTAGATATTTCTAGTTTTGTCCACAAAGTATCGCATTGGTGCCCAGGATTGCACTGAATACACAAGGCATTTGGTTGATTCATCTACATCCGCTAACGGTTTGTGTACTCACAGTTCGCCTTGAAGCCGCATTAACACACAGCGCCCACCATCGCCTGCATGATCAATGCATACGTTTCCTCAGTCCAACTATCGAACCAAGCCGTGTTAGCTGATGATCTCACCTCCAGCGGTGTCACGAGCACATCAAATTCCCTTCCTTCTGAGTGTGCTTCAGAAACCATAAATTCCTTCTCATCCTCCCAAAATCTCCTTGGTACTGGCCTTCCTGCTATGGTGCATCAAATCCCCTCCCGTCCTCGCCAAACCTCATCACCGAGACTGGCACTGCAATCCTCGGTACTGGCCTACTTGCTACAGCACATCAAATCCCCCTCCTTCTGAGTGTGCTTCATAAATCGTAAATCCCCTCCCGTCCTCACCAAACCTCATCATCGAGGCTGGCACTGCAATCCTCGGTACTGGTGTTCCTGCTACGGCCATCTCTCAAGAAGTCTATGTTGTGAATGAGGAAACTGTGGTTGCAGCAGGGACATTCGTCCTCCCTGCTTACATTGCTAAGGTATGTGGTTCTGTTAATACGCTGTTACATACACTCATAATCATGTGCCTAGCTTATCAGTGGGCCCGACTGTGACTAGGTCAATGGCCACATTGAACGTGTCAAGACCACCTTGGAAAACTCGCGTGCCGAACATACTCAGGCTGTAAAAGACCGCATCAACTCTGTTAAACAGGGGACATCATGTCGCTATCGAGCATGTCAAGACCGCCTTGGAAAACTTGCATGCCAAACATACTCAGGCTGTAAAAGACCGCATCAACTCTGTTAAACAGATGAGGGACATCGTGTCGCTATCAAACGTGTCAAGACCGCTTTGGAAAACTCGCGTGCTGAGCATACTCAAGGCTGTAAAAGACCGCATCCACTCTGTCAAACAGATAAAGGACGTCATGTCGCTGATGCAGGGGCTCTTTCCCATTTCAAAGGTTGGGGTGTGGTCTTTTAGTATTTTAGATCCAATGTGATATGATGTATATAGGAAACTGCCTGGTTGGAGGCAGAAGCATTTATCCAGCATCAAAAGGTTGCACTGGCATCTGAGCTCAAGACCGTCCCAGACAGCTGGGTGCGCTACGAGCAACGGCTGAAGGAGAGTGAGCAGGTTGAGCTTGCAAAAACTATCATTGCAAGGATTACATCCGATCTCAGGGATGAGAAGATGCAGGAGGAGATATTGGCCAATGCCATGGCGGAGCTTGAGTGTAAGTCGATCACATTGCGAGTTCCTCACAGATTACCTCTGACGATGGACAATAACAGAACTCGTGAAAAGCAAAGCGATCTAGGGAGGTCATGGCTAGCTAGATTACTGATAGAAAATGTAGCACATCAACGCCCTTTTTTTTATCAGACTTATCTTGAGTATTGGTGTAGTCATCCATGAAATCAGTTCTGCCACCCCATGACCCACTCGCCACAAATCTCGCTAGAAGGGTACAATAAATAAATCTGATCAAGGTACATGCATACCGCCGAGTGTAATGAATGAGGATTTGTGATACTAGTGAAAATACATGCAAGTTTAATTAGGTTTCGCCCTTAAAGTCAACCATGGCACCTCATCCGTCGACAGTGTTGACGACCCATTCCAGAGCCAACATTTGTTTACCAAACGGCAGGTGACGCAAACTACAAATATCTTTGTTTTCAATGATACATTGTATCACATGGGTAGGGCTAGAAGGTGGCCATCGTGGAGATGTTGAGTTGTATGCAGGGGGGACAGAGGCTACACTTGCAATAGGCAGGAGCTGTGGAGAATATTTGGTTGAGCGGAGGGGGTGACACTGGTGATGTGGGCGAGTATTTTGAAGACAGGAGTGACATTTGTGCAGGGGTTGCAGAGCCGTGAGTAATGTAACTATGCAAGCGAGATAAATTACTTACAAGCTGCAGTGAGGATAGCACGAGAAAGGGATGGTTGGCAAAGCGAATGAAAAGTTGTGCTGGGTGGATCTTGCAAAGTTAGTGACTGGTTCGCTGACGGACAAACGTGACTTACATCTAGGAGAGGCAGGACTAAAGGATGGACTAGTTAGTGAGTATCGTGTAGATATCGGACTGAAGGAAAGCGGTTGCGGACTGTACCGCAGTGACATCAGTGAGAGGGAAGGTGACATAGGTGAATACCGTGGACTGGTTGTGGGTGACGTTGGGGAGTATGTCAGTGATGTAGTCGCTCTGCTGCTGTTGTAGTTAGGGGACATGGGGCTCAATGGATAGACTAGTTGGTGAATACTGCGGAGGTGTGGGACGGAGGAAGGCGATTGCAGACATACCATTCAAGACGTCAATGAGAAGGAAGGCGGCGACATGGATGAATAAATACCACAGGCTGGTTGGTGAATTCGATCGAGGGCGGGTGACATTTGTTGGTGATGCAGCTGCTTTGCTGTGTCGTAGTTAGCAGACAAGGGGCTAAAAGGGTGGACTAGTTGGTAAATACCGCAGAGATGTGGGACCGAAGGAGGGTGACTGTGGACTGTACCATAGTGACATCAGTGAGAGGGAAAGTGACATAGGTGAATACCGTGGGTGTCATTGGGGCGGACTGAAACAATTCTAATATTGGCAAAATGTACGTGCTCCATTAAGAGGTGCCCCAGCTAAGACAATGTAAACATGGTTTTGGCTGATGTGGAAAGCTGAAAATTATTCACCAAATGGTGGGTGATGCAAAGGTGAACATTGTCGTCTTTGACGATAGGGTATGTACATGCTCCATCAAGGGATACCCTGGCTAAGATGATGTGAATGTGATTTTTGGTTGGCATAGAGAGCTGAAAATTGCTGATCAAATGGCGGGTGATGCAAATGTGAACAAAACTTTGTCATTGACAATAAGGTATGTAGGTGCTCCATCAAGGAGTACCCTGGCTAAGACAATGCGGACACAGTTTTGGGCTAGCAAGGAGAGCTGGAATTTACTTACTAAACGCGGGTGACGTCGTCTTCAACGATAGGGTGGACCGTGTTCCATTGGGGAGTACCCCAGCTAAGATGATGTGGATATAGTTTTGGCTGATGTGGAAAGTCGAAAGTTGTTTACTGTGTTGCAAACGTGAACGCGAAGCAAATGCAAATGTGGACATCTTCGATGATAGGGTGCATACATGCTCCATTGGGAGCTAAGACGATGCGGACACGGTTTTGGCCAACGCGGAGAGCCGAAAGCTGTTAATCAAATGGCAGGTGGCGCGAACGCGAACATCTTCGTCTTCAACAATACAGGATACTGGCTAAGTCGGGACAGATATCATGAGGCTTAATATTGATGGAGGAAGCTGAATGGTCTCACAGTGTACGCTTGCCTTTTACACTCTGCTGCCTGAAAAATTGAACAGCTATCCATAGGATGTTGTCTTCCTCCGAGCTCTCTTGCGTATATCACATGTTAACCATAACAACCAGACTATAGTCACGAGCAAAGTTGAAGCCATCTCTACCCATGCATTGTAAGGGATGGATTGAAAAGTGCACGTAGCGTGCCACTCACGAGCTGATACGATGCTACAAAAAGTGTGTAGTAAGCCTGACTAGCCCTTGTTCATGGGATTATCAATTCCAGCTTCGAGACATGATGTATCCTTAACGTCTGCATTCTCATCTGCGGACTTTGATAAAATGTGCTCCTGGCACAAGTTGATGACAAGTTACACAGGAGTGGGAGGATGACTAAGCACAACTGCTGACTAAGTGGGGATAAAGCTTCAGATAAGGAATGGAGGTAGATAGACCCCTTCATGAAGCCTCAACTGTTGATGATGAGTTATGCACTGAATTGACTGCTGACTGACTTCTGGATTGCTTCTTCACTTGTGGGTTGTAGCTAAGTACATGGGGGTTTATATACTATGAGGGGGAGTGCAGCTTATGACAAACAAGGCACAAATGCTTGGTAAGTAATGAGTAAGGACTGAGTAATCATGATGAGTAAGCAAGAAATGAAAAGTAAGCAAGCAAAGAAGATTGGTAAGTATTGGCAATAAACAAGTCAAGGACAGTCAAAATATCACAAAATGAGCCAAATGGAGTCAGAAACTGAGTAAGCACACTGGTATCACATTAGGGGGTGGTGATGCAAGTCAGATCTCAGCAGAGACATCTCTAGATCCAAAGATGGCATGACAGATGGTTGGTGTTTCCAGATAGGGAAGTATTAATTCCAGAATTGAAGGGCATGAGTCAGGTGTCAAAGGGCTAGGGCATTGGGGGTCTGTGGGGCAATGGGAGC